GAGCACGATACAGAACACAGTCTCTAACCTCTACAGATACCCATCATTTGTACTGCTATTTCTTCCTGCGAAAATGGTTCCTGATTTATGAAACAATTACTTCGTTCAATTTTCTTTTTACACCAACCATAAAACCATTATTTTCCTCACTTGGGGTATTTTTAATAACTTTCTACACTAATGAAACACTGCTGTAAATAACAAAATATCACTTTAACATAAATTCATTTACCTATTTTGGTCAATGTGTAACTGATTACAGAAGTCATCCTCCCAGGTGGCATGCACTCATCCACAGACGTCTGCTCTTGCCTCGGCACTACTGCCTCTGAGGCTAGAAGCACCTTATAAAAACTCAGTACACAGGTTTTCTTTGCTCTCCAGCCTACCCCAGGAGTCAAAAGTATCTCAAAGAAATTCAATTTCCTCTTTTTAGCCATTTTTTTCCCAAGGAATTAAAACTTTGTCAAGAATGGAAAATTCCATGGCACGTCTGGCCAGTAAAACTGCTTATGTCTGGGTGAGCACTGCAGAACTACCTCCATAGTAAAAATTGGCAAGGGCCCATGTATATTAAAAGTGCAGTATCCCTAAGTTATTTGAAAATTTGCCTACTAATATTATCCTTCTAACTTGCTGCAGTTTGATTTATAATCTGCTGTTTCAACAAAATAAATGAACCCATTAAAAACAAACCTACTGTAGATATTTATATCAGGAATAAAACTTCTCTAGGGAGGATGCAATTTATGGAAGCAGAAACATTGAAAGGAAGTAACAAATTGAGGTCCCGGATTTCTAATGAACGATTGGAAACTGAGTTCTGCTTTAAACAAGCAGTGGGGAAAAGACGTGATTATTTTTCACTCGTTAACATTTAAGTCAGTAGCAGGATCATTTCACACGTTTTAGAAAAAATATCGAAAACACAGGTTTAGTAAATATTTTGCTAAGCCAAGTTTAATTCTTTATAGTGACCCATGCAAATAATTGATAAAGTCACATATGCAAATATGTTTATATATTATAGATGTTTATATGTTTATATGTTTACAAAACAGCACTGTTTAACTTCAGTAAGCAGAAATAGCTGTCTATCATATCAAGAGTGTATTCCCACTAAGCAATCTGCCTCTGGAATGTCAGATGAGCTAGACAGATGCTAGTCTACACAGAATCTGTTTTTAGAGCATATAGACTTGTATTAAATCTCATGTTCTGTCTCATAGGCTTGTAAATAAGATATAATCTTCTCCATGATTAATAATTTTTCTTATATAAAGATTTCAAAGTTACAGAATGTATCTTGCTTCCAGGAATCCCAACTGGCTCATTTCATTTTGATTCCTGTTGGGAATTCACCTTTCCATCACAGATATAATGGAGCCTCAAATAGTTCATGGAAAATTTCCATTATCTTTTCATTCAATTTTTCCACAGACTAGTTTTAAAGCCCCACGTACATTGAATCAAAATCTACATTTTGTCAAGTTTCCCCAGGTGACTCATATTTGAAACAGCATTCTAACAAGAACCCTGGAATCTGTAAGAATCCTGTAAAACCCTGGAGAATCCTGTAAAAACGTGGATCATGGGTCAAGATATCTGGTGAATTTATGAAAATTCGCAACAAGGAGTCAAACCAATATGAACTGGCTCCAACTCCTGCTTTCTTATCAATAATGGTAAGCAAGCTACCAATGCTTCACCTGCTTCCAATTTGATGGAACAATGGAATTGAGAGTCCCCAAATAAACTGTTTTCCTCCAAGTCCGAAGGCGGCATGCCCGTTACAGGAACGGTGAAGTAGAAAAACATGCTCAGGGTTCCGCTCCGAGTTCCACAGCTGCTTCTCCCAGAGGCCACATGTCGATTAAACTTATTATTTAAACCACAAGCCGTCACAAACAGATTCACAGAAGGCATGCTGCCATTTTATTTTTGTCTGCAATGATACATTTTACGGAAGTGGAAAGCCATTGCTGCCAGCGTGGAAAATGAAATCCGTCTCTTGGAGAGGATACGATCGATGCTGTGTTAATCGGAACCTAAACTGTTGATGATTTGCACCATGTTCTGGCGGCTTCAACTGAAAAACTGTTTTAAGGGTATCAGTCAAACTTCCCTTTTTTTTTCTTTGCTGAGAGGGGAGTGAATTACGTGGAGAACTGAGGATCAGCCCGCCTTTGCTGCTGCGACCTGGGTTGAATCGGTTTTTCAATAGCAAATAAATAGAGAAACATATGTCAAAATTGTATTTCCTCTACTGAGATCTTCCAGGCAAAAGCCGATGAAACAGAAAATTCTTTGTAAAGATGGCAAATGTTATTTTAAAACCACTGTTTATTCCTATAGATAGTTTAAAATGAGTATGTGGTTGTTTTATCCAAAATATAACTATAACAAAAGAGGCCTCCAAATTTGAGTTCAGAACCTTTGCGCGCTCTCATAGGGCAAGACGGTTAACTGTCGGTGTTGCTTTGAGCAGCGTGAGGAAGAGGAGGGTGGAAAGAGAAGCACTACATGTGCACTCCCTGAAGGACTGGCTGGTTCCGGTTTCCTGCTCCCTTCCTATTTCCTCCCCTCATTTTGCAAAAACATGTTTTTGATTATTGTTTTCCCTGGCTAAACCTTGTACCTTTATCATTACACTGCAGAGCAAAAGTATTGTACGTGGGACAGTTTGCATTTCCAATGATTATAATATTATGATAAAAGAAATATATATATATACACTTATTAGCAGTCAAATTTAAAAAGTGAAAAAACTGTTGAAACAGTGACTCAACTTTCTGTCTCCCTAGGCTATAATAAATTCAGCAAAATATGTGACTCAAAATTGTGTCTGAAGGGGCACTTAATTGTTTCATTGTTATAAATATATACATGCACTGTACCCTGAAGGTATTTTCAATAACCAGATCTACATATCCTTGAGGATGTTGAATTCATTTGTTATTCTGCTCAATGAAGACAGGGGACAGAGGAAATTGTGTACTATTGTAAAGTCTTAGGGGAATCTGGGAATTAGATTAAAATAACTTGAAATAAGATCAACTTCTGGTGGAATATGAACAGTTAGGTGTTCCACTAGTGTCCTAGAAGTTGGAAGTCCAAACCCACTGAGATGGATCTCCCAGGGCACCTCTGAAGGCCTGGTTCTGAGAAGTCCGTCTTGAAAATCCCATGAAGTGCATGTCTACTTAGCGCACATAAGGTCACCATAATTGGCAACTGACTTAACAGCATCTAAAAGCAAGTGATCATCACACACGATATACATATATGAGTAACTTTTCAAAATTATTATTAGCATTATTTACATTCCTAATGATCTATCTTTCTCTCTTTAGGGGGGGCTATCTTTTATTAAAAGATCATTTTATTGGGGGCTCTCACACCTCTTATAACAATCCATACTGTCTTTCTTTTTCTGAGCAAGATTTCACTTACCTAAAGATTTACTTTTATCTGAACCACTTTTGCATGGCTTGCAATTGTATCTTTTCTCAAATGTCTTTGTTTTCATTTCATTTTTTAAAAATTCACCTTGGTTTCACTGGGAGATTCATACAAATATTCCAAAATACTGAGTCCTGGTCAGAAGTAATCTCTTACAACAGTAAGAGAACACGAGGTGGAGCGTGAGACAGAGACACGTGGCCCCGCTTCCGAAGGGCATTTTTCCTCCTCCTCTGCACTCTGGTAATGCCTCAGGCATGGAGGATATCCTGCATCCACTGGCCTGTCACTAGGCATGTTTTAACTTAACTCTTTCCAAAAAGAAGTTGAACAGTTTTAATTACTGCTATTTGGTGAAGGAACCCAGGTGGGGCTACAGCTTAACCTTCAGTTGCTAACTAAACTTTTAAGGGCTTGGACCATCTTAATGCAAAGAGAAAAAGATGGCAGTCTATTCTTTTAAAGATTACTCCCTCAGCAGCCCTACGATGTAGTTCTACTCTGTCCGGTGGAGCAGGGCATCCCATAAGTCGGGATGAGTTCAACTGCTGAGTTTTATTGTTTGGTATCTTCAATATACAATTTTACCATCAGTGTAATACTCTCGGAATAATAAATTCCTGTCAAGAGTTGTAGTCTCAGGAACCCATAGGGACAGTGCTATTCCGTCCTGTAGATTCAGAATCCACTGGGTGGCAGTGAGAGTTACCATGTATATCCTGGACATCATCACAAGCACAGGAGCTACGACTGTGAATACAGCACACCTCTTGCTCCAAAGTTGCACACAACATACAGGAAGGTGCGTACAAGGCCGTATGGCCCTGGCTGCTTCTGAAGTAAATACCAGTTTCCATGGAAACCTAGAGAAGCGGTGCCTGCACAGGGTGCAGAGACCACGTTGGGCTTGCGGAAGAATGAGATGTCTGTCTTTGGCGCTCAGAAAATAATCAAATTTGGCCACACAGATGGATTTGGTGGCAAGAGGAAGCCCATGTGGCATGTGGGCAATGATAGAGAGCAGAGTATGGATGAAACAAAAATTGCAAAGGAGGAAGATGAGAGCAGAAAGCAGAGTCAAAGCTGGCGAGATGAAAAACGTGTGTAGTTCTGAAACCCGTACAGAGTAATAAGGAGCTGCTGAAGGGCTTCCCTAGAGTCACACTACAAAAAGGTTTAGCTGAAAATGAGGAAGCACTAAAAACAGGGACATCAGTTAGAACATTGTAGTAACCCAGCAATTCATGGGACCTACTCTAGGAAGAGGTTGCTAAGGTATGGATGGCACTGGGCAGAAATTTAAAGGATATGTCAATAAACTTGGTAATCAAACCAAATAATGTTTAGTGCATTCTTTTTATAATCAAATGCAAAGCAACCATGAAGAAAAAATTAAGTTTTTAGCAAAGACACAGCCAGAGTCCTTTGGTGATATGTATGTAAATAGACTAATTTCTGATGCAATGAGTTGGTTTTTACACCCTCATATGTGGGGAACTAGGGTTTATGTACTCAATGTTGCGACCCATCTAATTCACCTTGGTAGCTGAGATAGGACGCCCGCAGATAAAGATGTCAAGGCATCATCCAGCCGCCCTCGTAGCTTCCCTTGGCGAATCCAGCTGATAATCAATTCAAGCACCATCAAGGAAATGAAAAAAGGAGTTGCCTGGAAAAGAAATTGGAAAGAAGAGATTCTATTCTGCTTCGTATGAAATTCTTCCACATTCCCAATCAGTCACACCAAAAGAGGAAAGCCAAGAATAAAATCACATCGCTGCTGAAGATCCACACTCATTTTAGGGATCAGGTTTGCCCAATGAAAATAAAGGTCACATTATTTGGCATATAAACATGTGCAACCCATTGTACTGTCAAATATGAAAATTAAATGTAACCATAGATATAACTACAGTAATCCTGTCAAGAAAATAATAAGATTAGGGAGTTCATGCTCCAAGTTGTAAAGAAAGGCAACATGTTCACATTTTCAACATTTGATTAAAAAAACCAGAAATCCATCTTCTACAGATGACTCAGCTGAACCCGCTCTAAGAATCTTGCTGTATGGATGCATACGATTCGGGTTTTTCAAATGAGAAGGATTCCAATTACATATCATATGGAAATTTACATGATAACAACAAAGAATTTCATTATGAATACTTTAGAGGATAAGGCCATTTTAAATATGTGTTTTAAACCTCCATAAACATAAAAAATAAAAGCAGTACCCTTAAGTCAATTCCCACTTAACACCAAAACCCAAGCTCACTGCCCTCGAGGCCATGTTGACTCCTTTTGAGCCCCTGTGGGCATCTGAGCCTCTCACTGTGGACCAGAGTAGAAAGCCCAGTCTTGCTCCTGCTGCGCTGCTGGTGGTCAGAACCACTAGGCAACCCGAACTCCGTATTCACCCCCATTCTCTCTCAATTCATTCAGCTCAATCTTTGGTTTAAATGTATTCTTAAGGTCACCAATATTAATGACACAGGATCAAATTAGGTTTTATTCAATGTAAAAATAATGAAGATGTGTGTGTGCACATTCGTACAGGTGTGTACATCCACTTTTATTTCCTCTTAAGAAAATCAGAAGGAGCAATCTCAAATCCTGAAAAGGATAATGAGTTTTAAAGTTGTCTAAAATGAGCTCCCAAGAACATTGTTGCCAATGTTATCTTGTTGGTTTGCTTTTGCTTCCATTTCTGGCCTCATCTACTAAGTTCGGTAAGTACAATTTTGAGAGGAGGGAGAACTTCGGGATTCAAGTTCTAGATAGTTCCAATTGCAATTATAGTCAGGAAACAGATGTGAAAAACATCTCTGAGCACTTCAAAGTTTGAAATACAAGTTGCTGCAAGTCCAAACTGATCATCTACAGATTTTAAGTTGCACTCAGTCAACCAGGAACCTTTATCCTGAATAAATTCTACCAAATGCAAAAGGAAATTGTTTACCTGGAGGTGGTATGTATACATACCAATTGAAAGTCAATTTAATAATTAGCTTGCCGATGTGGTATAACTATTTGACACTGAATGACCAATAGGTAAATTTGCAATGCCATCAAGGCAGCCCACTGTCGTTGAGTAGATGGTGACTCCTAGTGACAGTATAGGTCAGGGTACAACTAACCCTCTGAGTTTGGGAGACAGTAACTCTCTGGGAGTAGAAAGTCCAGTCTTTCTCCCACTGAGCACCCGGTGGTTTCGAACTGCTGACCGTGAAGATCACAGCCCAATGAGTAACCATTATGCGATAGGGTGCTGGAATTGAGTAATTTAAAGAATGAAGTGAACAAAACCACAGGATGTTTTTGATGTATTTCTTAAGACTGTAAGAGCAAGAGTAACTTTTCCCCAGGTAGTCTCACCTTTTCAACGTAATCGGGCACCTCCTCCAGGGTTTGGAAGGACGCTTCGCTGGGTTTCATCATGTAAAACATCACACGGACTCCCTGTGAAAGGGAAACTTCCTGTTGGGCCCCCGGCTTCCTCATCTCTGCCTGTGTCCGACTCCCAGCTGGGGAGTGTTTGTGCTGCAGTGGATGCAGCCAGCAGAACAAAGAGGACGAGCTGTGCCGCACAGACAAGCCCTTTGTCAGAGAACAGCCAGAAGCCGAGCCCCGCAGAGTCCAGCCAAGGGCGATTCTGTGCGCTCCGCAGGCAAACACAGGGATCCCGAACCAGTTCAGAGTTCAGTGGGCGGTGACGTCGCAGCACTGGAACATGAGGGGTGGGGAGGCAATATGCGTGCCCAGGTGTGCCCTACCGGGCAGGGTCACTGTGGCTATAGAACATAGTTTAAACCTAAGAGACAAAGAAAAGGTCGGGTGCACGAGATAATATTTCCTTGACCAAAAAAGGGGTGGGGGGCGTGGCGAGGAAGTGTGCTAACACAGGTGAAAGTTCATTTTGAACAAGCACACAAGGGTTAAATCACCGGAGGGGAATTGATCTTTTGCTCTCTTCCACATGTCACATTGTGTTTCCATGTTTACTTTCTCCACATTTCTATAGGACCTGAAAGTGCTCCAATTCCGTTTCTGAATATTTACTTTGAGAATCAGGAAGCACTTACTAGAGCACTCATTTTCACATATATTTCTGGGTCTGAATCATGTTAACTTCTGAATGTTATCTGTTCAACCAGTTTAGGAGTATCCGGCTTATTATTGGTTAATGAAATTTTGACTTGTAATATCTGATTAATTCTACCTCGCACTTACAGAGTTCCCTTGAGAATGAAGGTGGCAAGATATTTGTGACACAGATATGCTCCTAACTATAATAATATATAAAATTGTGCAATAAAAAATGCAGTACTTGCATTTATGGAGAAAATAGTTGCCCTGGGACACAATCCTCAGAAACACCGTCATGACTCTAAGGGATTACAAGCGCCAAAGCTGATACAAGCAGCAGTACCATGTTCTGTTTGTTTCATAGCATGGTGGGTAATATCATGCTATTATTTGGCCAGGTTATACTCAGAGGTCCAAGCTGCAATCTTCAAGGAAGCCTACGACCTTTTCTTTTTCCTATGAAGCACATAGTTTGTCCAAACCACTGCGTTTTTGTTTTAAAGCCACGCACTTAACCAATGCCACCAAACGCCTTCGCCTAGAGCAGTGGTTCTCAACCTTATGGGTCACGACCCGGTCAAACGGCCCTTTCATAGGGGTCGCCTGATTCATAACAATAGCAAAAATACAGTTATGAAGTAGCAACAAAAATAATTTTATGGTTGGCAGGGGTCACCACAATATGAAGAACTATATTAAAGGGTAACGGCATTAGGAAGGTTGAGAGCCACTGGTCTAGACAATACCAAACAAAACCCATTGTCACCAAATTGATTCTAGCTCATAGCATCCTAACAGGACAGGGTAGAAATAGGACAGGGTAGAAATCCCTCATAGACATTCAAAGCTAATCTCATTATAGAAGTAGGCTGCATCATCATTTTCTCTTAGAGCAGCTGGTGGCTTCTAACTGCCAATATTTTGGTTCGCAGACAACTGCTTTAACATTGCACGACCATGGCTTGATGATAGTATCCAGTAACTCAAATAATTATTCAGTAACTCAAATAATGATTCAATTAAACACTGATCTGGGTGTTGCTGTGAAGGAATTGTGCCCATATAACTAACATCAAGGAGTCCTGTTGGTACAGTACTCTGCTATAAGTGTTGGGGTGCAAACTAACAGGTGGGTGGTTCAAACCCACCAGGATCTCTAAGGGAAAAAGATGAGGCAGTCTGTCCCCATGAAGATCTAGATTCTCAGAAAACCAACCTGGCAGTTCTACTCTGTCTTATAGAGTTGATCTGAGTCCGAATCTATCCAACGGCAGTGAGTTTGGCGGACTGCTCTACGTAAGTTTGCTTTAAAGAAATAAGGTTACTTTTGATAATGTGAATAGTCCTGATACGATCAGTTGAAAGACTTAAAAGCAACAGGCAAGTCTTCCCTGATTAAAAAAAATACTGTAGCATCAGCTCCTGACAGACAATTTCAAGGCTGCTGGCCTATCCTAATTTTACACCATCCAGGCTCTATGATCGAGTAAGCCAAAGGCATTGCCAGCTCCTTGACATCAACCCCTCTCCCTCCTTTTCTCTTTCTTGTAATATATAACAATGTATGTGTGTGTACAATATATATGTGTGTGTGTGTATTATTTATATAGCTCCTAAAACCCACTGCTATTGAATTGATTCTGCAACACATCAGCCCTATAGAACAGAGTAGAAATGCCCCATTATGTTTCAGAAGAGGTGAATGTCTATGAGAGCAGACAGCCTCATCTTTCTCTGCAGAATGGCTGATGAGTTTATCCTTATAGTTAATAGTCCAAAGTGTACCCTTCAGTGCCACCATGGATAGATGATAGGTAGATAGATAGATAGATAGATAGATGATAGATAGATAGATAGATAGATGTACAGTTCAATATACATATACACAAGAAGGTTTCAAAAAGTTTATGGAAAAATTAAAATAGAATGGAATTTTTCATTGAACTTTTTGATGCTCCATTGTATATATGTACACATAGACGTAGAATGAGAGGGTAAAAGAAATATATATATAACTAGCCCCTCATATATCAATAGTTTGGAACAAATATGCATTCTTAAATCAAATGTTATAGCATTATTTATTGTACTCTCAACTTGTTCTCATCACAAATAACCTACAGAACCTTCAGATGCTAGTTGTTAGTATTGTTCTGATGCACGCAAACACACACACACACACACACACACACACGTATCTATTGGATTTCGATGCATGGATGGCCGGGCATGCCAGAGTAGAACAATGTGCCCAGTAGTTTTCAGTAGCCGCTTTTGCAGAAGTTGATCATGAGCTTTTGCTTCTGAGACACCTCTGGATGGACCTGAACTTCCAGACTTTCAGTCAGCAGCCAACCTCAGTAACTGCTTGCACCACCCAGGGATCCAATGAAAGGTTGAGAGAGTCAAGTTTAGAAAAATTACCCAAGACCAAGAAGAAAGATTAACTGGAGAGAGAGAGAAAGGGACTCTAGGTGTTCCCTTTCTCCTGTGCATCTCGTCATAAGAAAGAAGCCTTTCCCAAGAAGCCTGGAGAACCGGGCCTGGGGAGCAGTGCAGAGCAGAGCAAGAAAATCAGTGAAAGGAATCTGAGCAGAAATCAAGCCAGTAACTAGCACATCATGGTGTTTTAAGAATTGCTGGATTATTGCACAGTTAAATAGCTTTCCATTTTCTGTTAAAAAATTTAATTTGGCCATGAACATCATGCGATAATACTGTCCATTTGTGCATGTTTTTTACATAGATTCCTAGAAGTGGAATTTTGCATTTGTGCACATTTTTGAATTATATAGAGTCCTAGAACCGTGAAATTTGTACTTTGATAGTTACTCTCAGATTCACCTCCAAAATTGTCCACTCTCACAATCTTAGTAACAATGGTTACTGTCAACTTGTTATGATTTTGAGCCATATAATTGATGAGACATGGCATCAAATTTCAATGTCCACCTCCCTAAAGACTTTGAGATGGAGCCCTGGCAGCGTAGTGGTTATACACCAGGCTGCTAACCGCAAGGTCTGTGATTTGAATCTACCTGCCACTCCAAGAGGGAAAGGTGAGGCTCTCTACTCCCATCAAGAGTTACAGACTCAGAAACCCACCAGGGCAGTTCCATTCTGTCTAACAGGGTCACTCTGAATCAGACTGGACTTGCTGGCTGTGAGATTTTTGCTTTTGGAGTTAGAGTGACTTTAAACATCTCTCTAATACATTTATTAGCCACTTTTATTTCTCCATCTGTGATGTAGATTTTAATATTTATTACGTACAATTCCATTTTAGTGTCTTTTCTGTATTGGTTTATAGATTATTTCTATTTCAGATATATATTTTCTCATATATGTGGGGAGATGTTTTCTTTAATTATTTCTTTTTATTATAATCTTATTGTGAATCTGCAATCAGATAGCAATTTTGACTTTCTTTGGTATTTTTCATTACTCTTTGCCTTTGGTTCTCCCCACAATTCTACAGAGATCATCTATGTTTTCTTTTAGAAGATTTGGAAGTTCTTTAATTGTTGTTTCGCTTTGTTTACAGTATGAAGTAATGAGTTTGCTATACACTCTCCCTCAACGGCACCAAATAGATCAAAATTCTCCCTACTTGATTAGCTGATCAACATTTCACATACTATAGAACGATATATATTCTTCTCCATTAGGTCCTGTTAGCGTCTATTCTGTGCTAGAACTATGTTGTCTTAAATATATAGCATTAGAGCATTCTGATACTTTGTAGAATAATTTTTATCTGTTAATTTTTCAAAATTTTAACCTATTGTGAACATTTACTCTAATAAATCTCTAAAATTAGAAGAATCCTATCAGGGTTTTACTTACTACTGCATTGAATTCATGGGCTAATTTGGATAGAATTGGCATTGTAAGCTCTCAAATACATCTGTGAGAAATAAATGAACAAGTACACTACAATCATTTCAAATATATATTTAAGTGATTTCCGGATGTATTGCTAATCATCCTAATCCTTATCTTCTCCATTCTCAACAGCTTTTATTTTTTTCCCTGTCTTAAAGCTTGAGTGGGTTTTAAATCGTCTTCTCTCTGTCCCCACCCCCTCTGCCACAATGTTACATGCATTATTGCAAGCTTCTTTTTGCCTACACATGTAAAGGATGACTTGGCTAAACATAAAAAGTTTGGTTTTAAAAACGTATCCCCTCAAAATCAACAGAGACAAAGCATTTGGCTGGAGAGCATTCTGCAGGCAATCAGGTGAAGCTAAGAGATCTCTGAGCGTACACATGAATCGGAAAAAGGAAGCCCACCTGAATCTGCTCGTGCCTCTTCCTCAATGAGGCGCTGCTGGGGGTTGGCCTTCTTTTATATAATTAAGAGGGAAAAACTGTTAGACCCACATATGAGTGACAGGTATCACCTGAGAATGCAAGACTCTGCTTACTCTTAGTCTACTCTCAACATCACAAAATGACTTCAGGAATTTTTTGTTATTGAAAAGACACTTTAAAAAATGCTCAGAAACCTCCAGTGATAATGACAACAGTCCAATAAGAAGAGAGAACCCTGCAATAATTTGAAAGTAGAGAT